TGGAGAAGGAGAGTTTAAAGACCCAGGCAGAGAGAGCAGAAGAGCATGATTGCTAGGGAGCGGCCCCTGAGGACGGGGAGGCTGGGATGCAGTCTCAGTGGAAGAAGAATAGTCTCTCCCTCTCTTTTTTTTGACCAGTAAGGGGATCACAACCCTCGGCACGGTGTGGTCAGCACCACGCTCAGCCAGTGAGCGCACTGGCCATCCCCATATAGGATCCAAACCCATTGCCTCTGCACTACCAGTGTCGCACTTTCCTGAGTGAGCCATGGGGCCAGCTCTGAAGAGTCTCTCTCTTTATGAGACTCAGATGGCCAATGTGAAAAAGACAGAAAATGCCAATTGTTGTCAAGGATGTTGCAATGGTTTGAATGTGTCCCCAAAGTTCATATGTTGAAAACTTAATCTCCAATGCAACAGTGTTGAGAGGTGGGGACTTTAAGAGGTGATTAGGTATGAGGGCTCTGCCCTCATGAATGGATTCATGTTGTTATTGTTAGTGTGGGTTTGTTATAAGAGGGAGTTTAGCCTCCTCTTACTGTCTCTCATGATGTGAAGCCTTTTGCCATGTAATGACGCAGCAAGAAGGCCTTCACAAGATGCAACCCTTTGATGCTGGACTTCCCAGCCTCCAGAACCATGAGCCAATACATTTCTGTCCTTTATAAATTACCCAATCTCAGGTATTCTGTTATAGCAGCACAAAGCAGACTAGGACAAACATGAAGCAACTAGAATTCTCCTACATTGCTGGAGAGAGTGTCCATTCTGTTATCAGTCCGGGTTGAGACAGCATTCTGGTCACTGGTTGGTGCAGACTACCATTTGGGCCAATCAAGGGAACCCCAACATCTGTACTTGGACTATCAGACACGAAGTGCTCTATGCCCAGAGCAATTTCTGAGATGGGCCTTAATCCAAAGGACACGCACAACCCAGAGCCCAAAATTGGTTCTGTGCCCACCAGCCTCCAAAATGTCAACTTTGCCCCTGTGCCACTTTGCCCCTTGCCTCATGCCATAAAGCTGGCAGGACTTCAGTTGACAGAAGGTGGACTCTGCTCTTTTTCTTTTTTTGTCCTTTTTGAGACCAGCCGCACCGCGCTCAGCCAGTGAGCGCTGTGAGTGCACNCTGCCATTACATGAGCATTTGTAAATAATTTATATCTGTCTTCCCTACTGGATTATAAGCTTCATGAGAGCAGGGTTGGTGGTCTTGTTCATTGTTTAATCCCCACCATGCCCAGCATGGGCGGGTGTAAAATAAACACTTCTTGAATAAAATGAGTAGTTGATGAGGGGAGAAAGGAGACATCTCTTTCCATAATCTTAGCTGTGAGAGGTAGACAGTATGGTCATACTCCACGGGGAAGGTAGCGGGAAAGGAAGCATTACACAGACGACTGAGATGGAAGCGGGTCAAATGCTGCAGGCAGGAGCCAATGGAGAAGGAGAGTTTAAAGACCCAGGCAGAGAGAGCAGAAGAGCATGATTGCTAGGGAGC